TGAGCATTCAATCCATTGGCTTATAAGAGTTTGATTATGCTGAATATATATTATGATATTAAAATGATAACATATTATAAGATTAAAACATTTGTTTAAATATAAGAGGTAAAATAGAATAAAATTTTAGGTAAAATATACTATATATTTAAATTATATTTCAATTTAATTTTCAGTCTTTTACAATTACAGAGCAGTTTAGATAAATACACAGAAAAAAAATGATGTTAAGTTAACAGTATCACATAATTGAAAATAATCTTACTAATTTAATAAAAATATTTAACAAAGTCGTGCAAATGTTATTAATGTGTAATAACATTGTTAACGTGTAATATATTGAGAAATGTCGCCTTTCAAAATATTTAAGACATAATTTGATAAAGTGCGACATGTTTGTATAAACTGTAACGCTATGCCTTAAAAATCCTTATGAACTTTTTGAACAACTTAAAATTTTCGCAAATTATTCGCAAATTATAAATAATGAATCAATTTAAAAATAAGTAATTATAAAATAGATTACATATTTATTTTTAATAATTTATAATTTTAAATCGATTCTACTTTTGTAGAACTTAAATTTAGCGAACAATAAATTTTAGTTATAATGATATGGAATGGTAAAGAAAAATACAAATAAATAAAGAAAGTTATTATTTGAATATAAAATAAGGTTTCCAAAGTTATTATTTTTACGCTATTTTCTTACTTCTTCATCAATTTTCAAAAAATTAATTTCAAAATATTGTCCTTAAATGATAATACAATGGTGGTCAGATATGTATGAATATGATCAAATTTAATATTTTTTTTTATCAAAATATTCATTTTTCAATTCTTTTATTATGATACGTAACGATATAATAAAATTGAATACTATTTCAATTTTCAATCTTATATGGATCCAACATTAAAATATTCATAATGTTTATCAATTTTTAGGAGAATATTAATAAAGAAGGATAGGGACATCTCTCGCTCGAAATCTTTATATATAAATTACCGAACACAAAATACTAACCCTGATGATGATGATGTGCGATGGAAGGCGGTGCCGTCGGATGATAAGGCGTCGGTGGGTATGGCACTGGACAAAGGGCTGCACCAGCCGCTGCGGCAGCCGCATAAAGGTGATGATGATGATGATGATGAGCTGAATGATGCGGATGATGATGGTGCATTGTCGTCGTTGTGCCAACTTTATTTCTTAATATTCTTGATATACTGGATACTGAAGGAACGTTATACTTGTCGCAAACGCCATCGGATAACAGTCGATCTCTGATCTCCCAAGCAAAAATCCCTGGGTCTTTTAATTTCAATTGTTTGATGTACTGTACGACTTTCGGTGTAGTCACACGCGGCTTGCTGCCACCAATTGCGCCTGGTAGAATACTACCTGTTTCATGATAGCGTGCCAGTATCTTACTGACGCATCCATGGCTTACTCGTAATTGTCTCGAAATATCGCATGGTCTAATACCCAATTGTGCGAGTTCGACTATCCTCAATCTGACGGCGTTCGGAAGTGGTCTTCCATTAACGAATACACCTCCTAGTTGATTCACTTCACCATATTGCTGTTGCTGTTGTTGTTGCTGTTGTTGTTGTTGTTGTTGTTGTTGTTGTTGTTGTTGATGTGATTGTTGTGATTGTGCTCCAATTTCGGTACTACTATTCTCTGTAACATAATTAATTGATCTTATTACGTACATCATTGCGTAAGCAAAAATAGAATTCTCTATTGAAACACATTAGTTAATTATTATTATTTTATTCAATTTAATATAAGATAGATCATTTTAATTCACGGGATTAATCATATTGTGATTTGTGGATTACCATCGTGTTATAAACCATTGTTAATGCCAATATTTCGAAAACATTGTAGATCACTTCATCAAGGCGAGAAGCAATAGTAATTATAACAAAAATGATTTATGACACGATGGTAACCTATAAACCACAGTACAATTTTGAAAGAAATAACCATGAAAGCATCAAGAGTAACCAATTTACAATTTGATATAACCAATTTCATAATCAGTTATATCTCAAAAAGCATTATCTCATAAAAAGAAATAATTCAAATTTTGCAATATTTAGATCTGCCATATTGTATTCTCTATATTTTTGATCTATCTCTTTAAAATTTCTAAATCTTTTTGTAACACTACATCTTATCATAATATTATATGCACGGAAAATTATGTAAATGTTTCCATGATAATACAAACTTATTATATAAAATGTAATATATGTCAAATATAAATATGTTATGTGACAAGTAAAAAATTTGGGAAAGCATTTATAATAATAACTTTAGTTTTACGGCTTATGTGTAGGATTATAGAATTAGAACCCAAACGATTCTTTTCTCTGTTTGTGGGGAAGAAACTGAAACGTCTTCACCCTCGTACTAGTTAACTGGAACAGCCCGCTGCTCCGCACAAATACACTTATATTTACGTATATCGTCGCCAATAGGCAGATGACTGTGTAGACGTCGTCTCTCTTTCATTAAAGATGTGTGTTACATGCGTGTAAAATGACTACACGCGTCGGAAACTTTGATCTTGGCCATTTATCACTGCTTGTGAGAAAAAGTCTAATAATATTACATGTACAGACGTCGTACGCATACGAATGCATATAATGTGTTCATGCGTATCACATATGCGTACTTAGAACCTCGTAGAAGCACTACGGATACATACGTATCTCATCTTCGTCTTGAAACATTTTGTCTATGTCTAGTGAAAACGTTTATAATTTTGCTAAGAATAGCAGTAAGTATTTTAACGTGTGTGTTAGAAGGTGTTTTCTGCGAAACTATTAAAGGTAGCGACGAAATTCTTTTTGCAGTTTTTATGTTGGGGCCTTTTACAAGATGGATAGGGTGCCGCCCGGATAGGGTGCTGCTTTCTTTACAAAAGACAAGAGACGACATCCTATTTTTTAAAAA